AATAGGAAAGGAGATGGACATGGTTTCGACAAGGTTTTATACAGGATGATGACAAACCCTTGTCGAAACGTTGTACATTTGCTGTCATGTTAAACTTATATTAAAGTTTTTCTTCATTACCCATTTAAGCCGTCTCCAGCCATCCTAGACTGTAGTTCTTGAGCATATCATCAATCGTCACAGCATAGTTTTCACTTCTGTGATTTCCTATGAAATTTTTAATAACCAGTTTGAATGATTTCCAAGCAGTAAATTCCTTCTGATTGATTATTGTTTGAAAATCATCTTCCACAGGCATTTCCCGAATTTGTGGCCCAATAAAGATACTTCTTTTCATTTTTGCCTCACGGATTTTTGAAAACTTGTCAGATATCTGAAACCATTAATATATTTGTTCATTTATTTTACAAAATTCTTCATGAGTCCCAGTTTAATATGAAATGGTGGCAGAAACACATTTTGAGGATTCACTAGAGATTGATACTCGATATCCTGCTTCCTACGTATTCAATTCTCTCCCACTAGACATTCCTTTTCTTTGAAATGATTTTCATCATATTGGTTGTCCTAGAGACACAAAAAGCAACAATATATGGTATAATCACCCTGCAGACCAAGCAGTTGATCATATTTGATGGCCTCAAGTATAACCTGCATGCTTTGATAAATTTATTTCATGTTCACAGCATGAGAAACAGGAATCGATAGCTTAGTGTTCCCATTGAGCAAAAGCATAGCTTTCAGACTAACTTTAGATGAGTCGATAGAAAATCTCTATTCTTGGGAATGATGTTAAGTACCTAATTCTTCCATTAGTGCATCAACATTTGTACAGAAACATAACGTATCTTGCATGCTGTAGTGAGAAGCAATACTTTGATGGCGACTTCAGTAAGTTGAAATTTCATTGCAGTAAACGAGAGTTAAGAAATTCCCCATGTTTCTTTGATAGAGACAAGTCGAGAATCACATCATTTAGCTATTCTTATGTGATCAGATGAGGCAGTTTATGTTGAGGTGCCACAGGAATAGAATTACTAGATGAAGAGGATGAAGATGATTTACTGTCTACTTCACAGAATAACTTTTCTGTTTCCTAATTCACTCATGGAAGTGACACTGGAAGACCATCCATGAAGTACTGGTTTTATTGCTGATTAAATATCTGGATAACTAATGTATTGTTTAGTTTTGCCTAAATATCCTGAAACATTAGTCACACAAAATAACACTCAGTTAGATTATCTTTGGGTTCATGCTATATCATAGGAACTAGAAATTGCATACTTGCTTTCTTCTTATTCATCCACTGTGTTAAGCCAGATGTGCAAACTGTACAACACCCATGTGGAGCCCAATGTTTTTCTTGGTCACCAGTGTTATACCCATGATAGTGGTAGTAAGTTACCTTTATCTTGTGTGTGATGTTTTTCCTTCCTGAAACTGTAATATGTTATCCATAATGTAGCATAAACTGTTTGGGATTTTTGCACCACGATAGAAGAAGGCACCCACTCGGGGTGTTTACTAAGCAGGACATCCTGGAAGTTTAGCAAACTAAAGGCCTCGCAAATATACAATCTTAGAGTAGCTTTGCGCGAAATTCAATAAACGACAACAAAGAACTCAGGTTTTATCAATTCTAATCGATAAAGGTCTTAAATACATTAGAGTTCATTCAAACAAATGCTGTAATATTTTAAAAGAAAATAGCACTGGAATTAATTAATTCGTAATCATCAGTATTTCACACAAAAAAGACAAAATTCTTGACATCGAGGTAAACGATGGGAGTATTTGATTTTAGTAATCTTTATTCTTACAATAGTTTTTTTGAAAAAATGAAAGTCTTTCATTGGCAATTTCAAGATCTTTTTAAGGATTCGCATAAATTAATTTATTTTTGTACTGATATTACTGTGTTAATATCCAATAAGTCTTTCGGCAAATATAGGGAATATTTATGGGTATAAACATCAGCTCAGAATATCAACACCAGATTAACGCATAAGCCAACTAGGCCCCGGCCATACAGGGGCCCCTCCGGCCACCCAAATAAAGAAAAAAAAAGGTTTATAAAACTAGTAGAATAGAGGCAAGAGTGAATTATTATTATTCACAAATATTACCTGGGCCTAAACAAACATTGGACTGAAGAAGACACGTGTAATGTCGAAAATTAGTATCCATATAAATTTGCTATTGTTCCGTTAGTATGGAGTTAAACTTTATTGAAGATTACTTGACATGTTACTATGTGTTTACCTATCATTACAACAGAATTTGTTCAATAAGATTTGACAAAACTGTCATTTCGGGTTCTCCTTCCATTGTTTGAACATTAGATTAAATACATTATGCAGAAAATACAAGTCTTCTTGGTACTGGCTACTGGATTAATAAATTTACAGACTATCATGACCTATTCACATCTATTATGTCTAAACCTTAATTTCTCGATTGATTGTTTAAAGTAAAAATGAACAATGTTACCATGATGATCATGTTTAACCTCTCACTAATTAATACAAGCTGGACAAGCATAACAGTTTCTTATACAGTACACAGCGTGGTCACAAGTAAATAGACACCACCTTTTCAGAAAAAATGAACATTTTCAGTCATATTCACATGAATTGATATATTTATAATTTAGTTAATATCTAGTAGATCTTCCTTTCGCTTCGTGGAGTTCGTTGATCCGCTGGGGCATCGTGAGAATCATCTCGTCAATTTTAGATTGTGGGATTTTCGCCCACTCTTGCTTCAAAACTTGGAGTAGATTACTCTTCGAAGTTGGTTTTTTTAGTTGTTTCTTGACTTGCCAGTCGAGTATGGCCCAGAGGTTTTCGATGGGGTTCATGTCATGAGATTGGCTCGGCCAGGGCAACTTCTGGATACCATTTGCTTCCTG